CACAGTAATAACAACTGTTCCACTTTTAGTTTATCAAAGAACAGCTTGCAACGCATTAACTATCGGCTGGTTTATTCTAAGAAACTTGATGCACATTTTGCATGCCAACAAGGTATTCAGCCTTTTGGATGGAGTTGATCAGATAGAAGAGGAAATATGAAATTATTGCAACTGGTTTTATCATTGCAGTTTTTATCAGTGATACAGTCAATAAATTATTTTTCACATCTTGCATTTTCTAATTGTCACATGCAAAATGAATTAGTTCTTTCAAGCATCTGAACTTGAAATACTTCATAGATACATAAAGAAGACATAAAATACTGATACCAAAGAAATTGCATCTCGTTCTAAACATTTTTTTTTTTAAAAATGGTGGATCTGTTATTTCTTTGTTCAGACACAGTTACATTCTAACATCTGTCATCAATATGACTGATTAAAAGGCAGGATTTATGATGCACACGTCAAACACAAGTAAAGACTTATTCACTACTTGTCTAATCTTTCTGTAATGGTTGTCACTCATCAATGTCAGATCATTTTTGAACATTTAGTGGACTGTGCATCAATCTACCAATGCACAGGTTAGAGCTGTAACATATCACCATGACCTCAATACTCCGCCTGTCGTTGAGACAATAGAATCAATCAGAGCTGCTGTAACATGAGAGCCAATGATGAAATATTAAACCAAGGTCTAAAACAAGAGTATATTTTAGATTTTTTTCTCCAACAAGCTCTTGAAATATGATTTTTCTGCCTCAATAATACAAAATGTAAAGTCACTGCCTACTAAAGGAGCGCGCTCATCTGAAGACCAATAGAATGTGATTAAATTTTGATGTTTACGTACAAAAACAACAAACTCAGCAGCTGAGAGGCGGCAGACACCCTTTACAGCTCGCCACTCCATCACAAATACAAAACATGATTTTTCTTTTAATCTATAATAAAACACTCAACTGAACAATTTACTGTCTATACTTATAAAAAAATAATTGCTTATATTTCTAAGATAAGTTCTGAAAACAAAACCAGTAGCTGAAGATATCACCCTAAAATGAGTCCTGAAAATTAAACCCTCGGTTGTTTCCTGTTGTGTTTTTAGCAGCCAGGTCTCACAGAGCCCTGTGGAACGGCTTGGCCTTTTTTATTCTTTTGCTTACAGATAAGAGGCCCTCTCAGTGTTTGCATGGGTTGATTATTAAATTAAGGAATTTGGCTAAGTCCGTGACCTTGTGCAGAGATCACCCTTCAAGATTCCAAGATCCCAGGAATGTGGTGACGACACATTGCGAGATTTACTCTGTTCACTCCACACTAATTAAAGGTACATAAGCTAAGCACATCTGTTTCAACAAACATGTTGCTGTTGTTGTTGTTGTAGCTGTGAAACCCCTGAAGCAAACTCCCTCATGTGATGATTAAAATTCATTCATTCCCCTTAATTTCAGTATTGGTATAAAAGAGGTTTTCTAAATGTAGAAGGATTCTCTTTACAAATTACAGTGACACTTTATTTGCATAAGACTGATATGACACTGTCATTACCATAACATATCACCTGTTATGAACATGAAGGAGTCTTTGTGAATGTTTATGACTGTTGTCATGAAGTGTCACTCTGTACATAATGACACTTTTAATGCAAAGTTGTGCTAAAACTCCCCCAAAAAGTCAATTAAAAGTGTCAACTTTGCATTAAAACTGTCATTATTTACCAAATGACATTTCATGACAACAAACCCTATTTTGCACTTCACTCTCCCTCAGTCGGGCAAAAGTACTTTTTGCATTTTGTTCTGTCACAATCACCAGGTTTAATGTTTTTATTGGGGTTTCATGTGACAGACCAACACAAAATGGTGTATAATTGTGCAGTCAGTCTGTTTCCCTTGGAGTTATCAGTTGTGTACGACACAAATTAGATCAAAGTTGGTGGGAAGTTGGATGAAGCCAGGCAATAGTGAAAGAAAACATGTTAGAAACAAAAGACTTAAAGTCTTACAACCATAATGAGAGGGTTTATATCAAAACATATTTATGTGCTGGAATATGTAGTAAAGGCTTGAAAATTGATGTTTACAGATGCTCTCTGTCCAACTGTAGACTAAAACATGTTGTAGACTAAAACAAACTCCCCAACACTCCTTGAGCTTTAAGCTCACAAAACTCTTTATAACGTTTATCATCTGTGAATCAAAGCCAGAAAAAGGGCATCCAACCAAACAGCTCTGGAATGAATTAAGAGATGATTTAAAATAACAGTTTCTCCTATTTTACTCTTTATAGGTAAATGTTTGAGTAAAATAAATTTTGTCATTTTATCCTATTAACTACTGACAGCATGTCTCTGAAATTCCAAGCAAAAAATTTGTTTTTATTTGCAGAAAATGAGAAATAGTCAAAATAACAAAAAAGACACTGTGACTTCAGACCTCAAATAACTCAGTTCAGAAATCAACATTTGGTGGAATAACCAGGAGGTTTTCATTGGTGGTCTCTTCATTTTTTCCACTCTTCTTAATACCAATATTGTACATGCAGTGGCAATTATGATTCATCATAATGCTGAATCAAGTCAGTGTAAGCTTGTTCTGCTAACCTGTATATCAGGTTATCTGCTGAATATCTGTGTCGCTGTCCTGCACCACAGCACAGGCTGAGGGCAGCGTCACAGAGGGCTGCTGCTTTTTCTCATGGGAAAACAAACCGAGTGGCGACAAAGTGCAAGTAGCCAACAGCAAACAGGCACTGATGTGTTAGATAGCCTCTCTGCTCCAGCTGATAGGATGATCTACGGAGGTCACCTGTGTCTGGATTCTGGAGCAGCCGTGTTTTAAAGTCAAACAAAACGCGTCATAATAGAGTTAAGGTCAAACAGACACATATTGCAGTTGTTGTAAGATAACTTAAAGTTAAAGCAATTCATTTTTAAGAGCAATGTGCTTCGTTGAAAATGGGGAAAAAAATGTAAGTGATCACTTCTCTCAGATTGGATGTAAATGAGTTTCTTCCATCAGCTGGTCTGAAATGCAGGCATGTAACATGTTGCTGATGTGCAGGGCGGTGTTGATGTCTTTGTGCAAGTGAAAGTGTGACTTCCCTCCAGCGCAACCCTTTATTCAGAGTACCGACACGCCGACATGAAATGAAAGTGAAGACACAGCAGTTTTCTCGGTTGCTGGATTAGTCTCTATGAAAAGTAGAGGCTTTACAGGCATGAAAACGTCTGTTTATATCCCTGATTTTCATACCTGGAATATGCCATGCTCTGGAGATAACAGATGACAATCATAAGTCTGGATTTAGATCAAAATGAGCTCATTGCTACAACAGCATGATGAACAAAACACCCAGCGTTTTAGACAAAATGCAGACCTTTGAAAGTCACTTTATTCTCTCTTCTTGTGCCAGTGTGGAATGAGGAAAAGTTAATAAAGTCAGTTGGAGCGGAAAATGAAGCAGCCATGAATAAAAAGAGACATTTAACTACATCTTTAAACTAATATTCCTGCTCTCATCAGAAGCTCATTATTTTTTATACAGCTTCTGGTGCTTCTTTTGACTTCAGATGTGTCAGTTTCATTAAAAAAAAACACCCTGCTTCGACTAACTCCCTGGGGCTGAGAGGTGTAACACAGGCCCGGGGCTCATCAGAGGAATAAGCTGCTGATGATAAAGTGTCGCCATATGGCTGGTGGACACATCAGAGGACGAGACGTTCACTGTGAGAATCAGCGTCTTCTGGATAACAAGGACAAAGACTGACAATATTTGTAACAAACATTTTCATGAAGATTATACTCATGTTCTTAATTTTTGTTTATTTAATGAGTGAGATTTTTTTTCTGTGTTTGAGCAGAGATGATCAAAATGATGTCAAAGTATTTGTGTTTGGCATAATAAGAAGAAACCATGAACTTTATCTGACACTTCCTAGGCTTTTTGTTCATGTCAATAATTTTAAACTTGATTTCTATAATGCAAATGTTATTACCAACTGAAAAGAGTCAATGATCAATCAATAAGACAAAAATGATCCAATTCTGATAGGCCCATTTCTACTAACAGATACATAATTATCTGTTAGTGTTAGAATAAGTTCAGCTTTGTTGTTTGAAAACCAAATTTATTAGATATGTTTTGCAAATTGTTGTTAATCTTTGACGAAATACCATGAAATCTAGGTATTTTTATGAGAATCTCATTCCTGCCAGGCTTTCATGTGCAGCACTATAGAAGCCCAGTGCAAACCCTGAATGTCAAGTAAAACTTAGTATGTGTGGTATGGCTCTACTAACACAGCAATAGAAGAACGTGACTGACCTACTGACTGACCTGACTGCAGCATAAGGTCACCTTTCAGGCACAAACCATTAATAAACAAGCTTGGAGAAAATATAGAGACAGACCAGCTCCCCTCTTTCTGTTTGGCACGTTCTAAAATTTATGGATCTATATCAGCACAGGCATGCAGGCAGCCAGGGGGTGAGGCTCTGAATACCCTTCATCTTTTGTCTGCCCAAAACGAAGAAGTGCCCTCAATGCGTGGCACATGCACCGCACAAAGGATACGAAGCGTGTAAGGAATGTGTAACTTGGTTCATTCATAATTTGCTTCCTGGTGCAAAATGAACTGAGTCTTCAGTCCAAAGCGCTGCACAGCGCCTGCTTGTTGGGTGCGCCTGCCGTCTCATTCATGTCTCCAGGGGAGATATAATAATGAAAGCTACTGGCGTCGGGGAAAAAAGGCACTGAACCGAGTCCGCGGAGGAGCGCAGATGTGTGATATGTGATCCACTGGACGGCAAATTCAACGAGGATGTTGAGGTTTAACACAAGTCAGTCCAGCTTCCCCCCATTTAGAGGCTGCGCCTCTGTCCAGGAATAAAAAAAAGAAAAGAGCAGAAATCCACGCACAAAGCGAGCATGCTGCGTACATGACCCTCCCACCGCTCTGAGTTGGATCTGCAGGCTCCAGAACAGCGACTCACCTGCTTGTGTCGTATCGGTCAGGTCGTAGTTGATCCCCGGGTACTCCCTCAGCTTCCTGCCGCTCAGGTTCAGGATCCCTGAGCTCACGGCATCTTCCAGAGCCCGGTCCAGGCTGCGGGCAGTGTGGTGCTGCTGCTGCTGCTGCTGCTGCTGGTACTGGGTGACAGCCGGGCTCCAGTGGGGTCCGCTGGCGCAGTCATGGTTTTGTAGAGCAGTGACAGCTCCTACACCACCCTGACCAGACGCCATTTTCGTAAAAAAAAAAGGAGAAATTACTCCTCGTAGAATAATCCGAGCGCACAGCGGCAGTTTCTGCGCTCATGCGCATGCAGGGTGCGTTCCCCGGACCGACGCTAGGGGATGGGCTTCGGAGGTGATGATGATGATGATGCTGATGAGGATGAAGAGGAGAAGGAGGGGGGGTATGGTAGCCATTTTAGGCTTTAACCCCCTTTTTGCCGCCTGGTTTTAGGAAGCAGAGCCCTGCAGGAGGCAGGAATCAGTCACATTTCCCCATCTAGTGTGACGACACTGGGTGATCATGTTACATCCTGTTTCAAAATAACATTTAAAAAATTATCCTTTGACAAGATGCGTCTGATCCCTCTAGATAAAACAACATTTCATTCATCTTTACTTTTAGTTTATCCATATTACAACCAAAACCACAAGGTTATTTCCATTTTATCTCATAGATCAACAACAAGGATTGTGAAGTTGAAAAGGAGATTTTTTTTTAATAATTAAAAATCTGGCTGTGTTTCTTTCTATTTAGCTCACAACTAATTATTCTTCCCTGGCTTGCCGCTGCAAGAGGACGACTATTTCTTAGTAGGTTTGCAGGTCTGCCATCCTCTTTCCCCTGTTTTTTTTTTTTTTTTTTTTTTTGGGATGATGAATTAAAAAGAGTCTTTTGAGACGTTCAAAGGTTTGAATATTGTTTTGTGACCAAACCCTGCTTGCTTTACACTTCTCCAAACTTAGTCTGTCCTCTGGTCTTCCATCATGTTGTTTGTTTGCTCATCTCCTCTAACAAACCTTTGAGAATTTCCACATTTGATTAGAAAACAGAGAAGACAATTGATTATTTTCTTTTATTTCCAAATTATTCATCATGTTGGCCTGTTCCAATAAAAATACAGTTAAGTTTGGTTTTCTAATGTGAGAAGACGAGGTGGTTCGAAAGTTGCAGCTCAAACCAGCATTAAATTACAGGACCCTGTAATTTAAGCGTGAAGCGGTGAAGTTGCTAACACAAATCGTTGTGTCTAAAAAACGAATGGAAAGTTGTGAGGAAGGAAAAAATGTGGAAGAAAAAGCAAGGAGTCACAGGTATAACCTGAGCCTTGGGAGGTTGATGAAGAAAAGTCAAGTCAAGACATTCAAAGGGAGAGATTCGAAGATCTACACTACAGCTGGACATACACAAATCAAGCAGAGGGATTATATATGTCTACTTTCCAGAGAACACATTGAGATCACCCAGAATGATCTGCGTGTTGCTGTAGAAAGTAAAGTTTTCTTCGGGAACTTTTATCTTTGCTACCTAATCTAACAGGTGGTGGAAAGGTTAATGGCTTTAAATATTTTAATGTGCTTCCAGTTAACGAAGTGCTGCCGAAACGTACTAAACTTATTCTACTTTTGGAGTTGGGGCATAAGAGACAAATAGAGGATTGCACTGCAGTGAATGTTTACAAAAGGCAAGTGTACCCTTTAGGTCACATGGACAGAGGAATTATAAGAAGGCTGGGAAAATGAGAAATGATCTGTTAAATTGACTGAGGAGAATGAAGATGGAAACTAGAGTATGCACATTTTTTGTGTTTTTGTAAAACTGCTGTTTATTATTCATTTTTTTAGCATTATTTTTGAGTTTATCTGAAAGTGGGTGATGAGATAGGGGGTAGATATTCAACAAAGGGTCACCAGGTTTACCCCTGTGCCGCTGCCGCGCCCCCTGCTGCTTGCTATTTTTACACATTCCATAAATTCAGATTTTTGTGTATTTTTGTCCATGTGCTTAAAAAGTGAGCTCTTATTGTCACATGTCAATTTTCTAAGCTACAGAAAAGTAATGATTAGGGATGCACTGACGTAAAAATTTGGGCCGATATCAATATCCAATATTAATATCTCAGCATTTATCAGTATCAGTATTTACATTTGCCTACACTTCTGACACCTGTGAAGTGCACAATTCAGAGACTGAGGTCCAGACAAAAGCCAAACAATCTTTAATACATCTGCAGATGGAGAGCAAACATACACTGCATTAGGCTCAAATTAAGATCCGCTCTGACGAACTCACAGTTGCATAGTTACTTTATTCATCTCTCTTTACTACCGAGGCAGAGACTCAATCTTCTAAGACCAAACAAAAGAAACAAAGGAAAACATACGGAATCTTGTATGATCATTCACTGTAATGTCTACGGGATGTTAAAACTAAATACTCTATCTCCATGCAAGGAAGGCCACGGGAAAAACAGCAAGTTCCCAAATAACTGTCTGTGGAAGTTCAGCAACCCAGGGAAACTTACTTCAGCAGACACATCTTGTTTCATTAGTTTGTACACCTTTCCCAGCTGCACAGAAAAACACCTTGACTGTGATTCAAAAAGCATTACATTTATATGATACATAAAGGAACATCATTTAATACGAATAAAACTTCTTCACACACCAGAATCCTGCTCTGCACTGAATAAATACCGCATAGCTAGCTCCCTCCCCATCCTGAAAAACATACATAAAAGATCGATATAAACATCAGTAGTTCATATCGTACCAGATATACTTATCAGATATAGTTAAATAATCGATTGTTGATACCAATAATTATTTCTACTATATATTTCCAGAGATTTAAAAGTAATTTTAGTACTTGTTAGCCTTTTTGAAGTTTGTCAATGTACTATTCCTTCAATAGAGAAGGCGCATTTTAACTCTAAGATCAAAAATCTTCAGAGTACCATTGAGATGAAGTGTTTCGGGTCTGGGTCAAATGTGCTCTTCTTTTGCAAATCAAAATAAGATGTATTTGTAAACAGATGAATCGCATACCAGTCACAGCCAGTCGTGTTTCACAGCAATCTTTGCTGCCACTGCCGTCCAGCCTGAGCAGCCGTCCTGCCCCCACCGAGGAGCGACTCAGGGATCTCCTTGCATCTGAGTGTCTGGCTGTGGCAGCAGAAAACCCCAACAAAACACAAACATATGTCATAACCAAAATGGTGGCGCATTAGAAAAAGACTCGCAGAGTTTCTGGCTGAGGTATGGCTCTGTGTTTTCCCTCGGATGGGCAGTTGGAGCGTTGTGGCGTTACGACAGGCGGACGGTTGGCTGTTAGCTAGCAAGCAGGGATGTTTGTTTCTGTAGGACACCCCCTGGTTAGAAGATGGAAACAATTAGCACCACTGCGTGTTTGTGTTGAGGCAACTGTGTTATCGGATTGACAAATGTACATTGTGTGCAGCAGTAGTCGCGAAAAGCTGCGATTAGCTTCATATTTCAGCAGAGTCAAGGAACTGGTGGCTAAGCTAAATATTAGCTTAGTGAAATGATGGCTTTCAAGCTGACCAGGCCGATTAAAACTGTTTATTTTCATAGAAATTGCCTGAAATACTTATTTTTTTTCGCTGGAAATGTACTCATTTATGATATGTATGCGTTAAGAATTAATATATATATATATTGAGTGAAAAACTTTGTTTTTAAAAGCTCTCATGAAATTTGTAACATGCTCAAATTGGATGTTTTCAGTTAGCAGACAACAGACTTGGGCTTTGAATGCATCTTATAATGTGTATAATGTGTACATTATATAATTGTTTTAGGATCGCACAGAAGTCCATCCATTTGTTTTAAGATGCATTATTATACCCTGACCCAGGCAAAGCTGCACTCAACTGACTTGTATTCACATCCTAAGTATTGATAGATATCATTCAAATGGTCAGAGATCAAATCAGCTGGTTTCTCCACAAATCTGCAGAAGACAAAAAAAAAAGTCTGATTTATTTAAAACTATTACCTATTTTTAAAAAATCCTGCAACATGTCAAATATCCTGCAGACTAAAACAAATCAGGCACTTTTTGTTTTGGTTTTAAGAGGGATGACTTTTCCAAAAATATTCACATTGTTTTCTTCTTGGTAATTTTAGCTCAAAGTTTCATTTGATTGTGTTGTTAAAAGGTCTGGTGCTGCCTATCTTCTACTTTTGCTTCACCAAACTTATGTTGTGGTCTATGTTGAGGTTTTTAGATATTATTAACAGATCTAAACTGAGATAGGCTGTGTATGGGCCAGTATAAGATTATCTCAGTATGTTAACCTTGGGCAAAAATACCACAGTTTCACAGTATTGCTGTATTTAGATCAGAAAAGAAAATAGATTTAATTGCTTAAACAGGAATGTAATAATTGCCCCATTTGCTAAAAAGCCCCTCAAAACATTGATTTTTGCAACATAATATTATATATTGACTTCATCCAAATTACTAACAATAACTACTGACTGACATGCTTTTAGCTTCCAAACGTTTGAAATGTATTTTCTAAGGTTTTACACGTATAACAAGCTGATATCAGGTTAAGTAGTTGGGCTATCTATTCATGTAGTCAGCCTCCAGTTGTCCCCTAAAAGCCATGTATAGCTTTCCAACTGTAGTTTCAAACAGTGTTAAATTAATAAGAGGGATGGGTCACACTCATTTAATTCCCAACCCAATAACGTTTTGTCTTTCATGACTGAAAATTGATTTTTATTTATTTATTTCTTGTTAAAGTATATTAACCTTCTTTCAGCCAGTTGGCTAGCAGTGCTTAGCACCAGATTGGAGGAGGGTCAGTGCATTTTGGCAGTGTTGAATACAGACATAAGCGAATAAAATATTTTTATACAATAAAACCTGTGAGCAGCCCATGTGATTATTTCATATTTCATCAATATTTTACTGCTGGTTGTTTTTAGCTCTATGTTTCAGTTTTATTTATGTCTTTCAGGTTAAGCATGGCGGACAGAAAAAGAAAACCAGCTGCCTCCATCAAACCGATCACAAAAAAAGAGAAAGTCGAGCAAAAGAAAAAGGTATGCTTGCATTAGCATTTGTTCTGTCTCTTAATGTGTTTTATTTAAAGAGAACAACTATGGATGGTCATGTGTATCAGTTCCAGACTAATAATTGGTTACTGTTAAGCTTTGTTCCTTTGGAAACTGTAAAAAGAGGTAAATTAGACACAAGTTTGTGTTTTTATCTGTCTGTGTGACGCTGCAGGAGGAAGAGAAAGCTGCTGAAGTTTTTGA